TCCCAGCCCTAGTAAGCGAGGAATAACTTTGGAAGCCGTTTCAAGTGAACTAGTTTTGTTTCGCACGTTTTCAGACAGTCAAAATCAGGTACAGCGCCTTTAGAGCTACTACAGAAATCTCACATCTGGAGTGTCTGAGGCCCTCGTGTTGTTCTAGGGCTGCGTTGCTTTTGTTAAAGATCCCAGAGCTTTTCAGGGGCTCTCGCAGGTATTCACCCTCTCACTATACCTGCGCTTCCTGTGTTTTTACTGCAGTGTTTAGAAAAGTGGAATGGGCGATTGTGGTCGGAATAGAATGTCAGCTCAGATACACAAAGCATGAAATAACACAAGGCCAGGTTCTGGTTACGAGATCAGAAAAGTGCAGAATAGTTATACAAAAGTGCTTCTTATGAACTGAATAAAAGATTTGTATCTGATTTGAAAGGTCCCATATTACGCAAAATCGACTCTCTTGAGCTTTAAGCCATCAAAAAACAACTCATCAAAAACATACCTGGAGTTGTGTTTTGTTTTATTCACACGTATTTGAGTAATCCTTTATTATTAGTCTGTCTACATCAATGCTCAAAATGCTCTGTTTTCAATTATGATGTCATGAAGTGGTAGTTTTCAACTTAACAGCTCCTTTTACCTTTTTTTCAGTGAAGATTTTGTTCAGTGAAGAAGCTGAAATTATCCAAATGATTCTAGAGACGGTGTGTGGATTTAATAAGAAAAATAGATTAACTTCAGTCCAGTTTAATGTGGCGTAGAAAGTACAGATACCTGCTTTCAGATGTAGCGAAGTAAAAGTAAAAGGTGAATGTTTTAGGTATCTGTACTTAAAGCAGGGTTCTCACGATCATGGAAATCCTGGAAAAGTCATGGAATTGTAGTATCTCTTTCATGCAACTACAGCATTGTGTTAAATTAAAATTAGGCTGTTATGATTATTTCCAAATGTCTGCGTCTTTTGTTTAAAAGAGACGATAATAAATGCACTGACAGTATTTTGAATGTTAAAAAACTATAATCCCAAACCATAAGGTGAGTGGAAAGGGTTAACATTTTATATTTAGCCCTAAAAGTCTGATCAATTCAATGTATGTAGGGGCCGTAAAGTCATGGAAAATTCACTTTAGGTCATAAAAAAGTCATGGAAAAGTTTTGAAATTTGTCAGTGAAAAAGAGTGGGAACCCTGTTAAAGGTGCACTATTGTAACATTTTGGGTGGGAGTTTGTCACTTGCTTGTTTCCATGGATATGTAACTGCTCAGCCTGGAATGTTTCACAGTATGTTCACAGTATTTACACAGTATTTACTTAAATACCTACAAAAACAGGCATTTTGACTGTGAGTGGGGTCACCTCTCTGCAGATCTGGCCTGTAACTTGGTCTGGTTTGGTGTCCATGAAGGTAGAAAGATTTAACACCATACTGTGAAACATTCCAGACAAAGCAAAAACATCTCTATGGAGAAAATGTTTCGACGAACCCTCCACCAGAAAAGTTACACGATGAACCTTAAAGTAAATTTAGTTTAGTAGAACTTAAGTACAGTACTTTTCCTTTTTTACTTTGTTACTTTCACCTACTGCTTAAATGTCATTTCTACTACATTCTGAATTCAACTCATAAATGAACTTTTCTTCACAAAATATCAAATAGTTCATATAGAAACCCCAATTCTGTCTCTTATACCATCACTGAACTACACTGTATGTTCTTAATCTACAACACAGTGTACTCAGACTCCTCACCTGACTGTGACATATTGGAGTCAGTGGGAGGGACAGGATGGAGAGCACAAACACACCCAAAGTGCTGACGGTTCAGTTCCACACACACAGTCCAAAGATGGAGCAGATTCTGTCCACGGAGGGGGCCAGCACAGACGCATTCTGACCACAGCATCTCCGGCCCTCTGAGATCTGCAGGCTCCTTACCTGACCAGCCAGAACCACAGGCTCTGACAAAACTTTACAAACACGAGCGGATTTGGAGCTGCGTCCTGTCTCCCTGATTTCAGAGGGTGTGATTGACAGGCATGTTAACCAATCAGAGAGAATTACTCTCATTTTCACATTAAAAACAAACATGACTGCTTATACATATATAAGGATTAGTTTAGTTTATTTAGGCTGCTCCTCATTTCTCTTTCCTCGCGTCCTTCTCCTCGATTCCTGCAGGAAATGGGTGAGGAAGTCTTGCCCACAGAAGAGACAAAACAAGGAGAGAAGACATAAACTCCTCACTGAGACCAATAAAGTTTGATTCTTTTCTCTGATATCTGCTCCTGAAGCCTCCCTTCTGCATTTCGTGGTTTCACATTTGATTGACAACTGAAAAATGGAGGATTATTTTACAGGGACCATGTATAGGAGCATTAATCAAAGAAGAACAACAACAAGGAGATGCTTTGTACCAGACTATAACTCTCGAACCTCATTCCCATCTACAGTCCCTGAGACATACAAAACATAGATTACAACAATAGTATAAACAGTGCGGTCTATATGTAAAAAGATCAACAACACTAAATATCTCTATCTCCAAATTCCAGCCTACTCCCTCTGTGAACTTAATCAGGTGTTATTTAGTTGTCAAGTCATTTTTCCTACATTAGTTGGCACTTAAACATTCACTTTTCTATGGATATGTAATTTCTCTGTCTGGAATGTTCCACTGTATGACATTAAACAGCGCTATCTCACATTTATCTCACATTTATTAAATTACAGCTCAAAATTACCCAGAAAAACATATATTCTGATTATTATTATTATATTCTGAGTGGGGTCACCTTTCCACAGAACTGACCTATAACTCGGTCTACATAAAGATAGAAAGGTTTAATACTATGCTGTGAAACATTCCAGGCAAAGACATCTCCATGGAATAAAGCATTTGATGGACCCTCTACCTGAAAAGTCACACAGTGCATCTTTAATATTGGCACTTCTGCATTGTTAAAAAAATATTTTCTTAATTCAGCACTAAACAAGGAGAAAAATCTACATAAAGTACTGAGAAACAGCATGGATTTTTACAGAATCAACAATCAAAGCACCAAACTGTTACTTATTTCATCTAAAAGAAGTTATGTGTTTTGTTGTGAGAATGGAGAATTGGATCATCGAAATTTTGTATGGAGCTTTTTCACACTCTTTGGTTTGGTTCCAGTCTCTTCTGGATTCAAACAGAATGTAGAAGAGACTGTTTGGTCAGGCAAGCAGGCTCGTCTTCCTCTCTGATCTGCAGCTCCTCTCCCTCTGAGATCTGCAAGCTCCTCTTTAGGGATGTAACAATCTAAATCTCTTAGTACGACATTTTGACGATAACAATGTCACAGAACGATATTTATTGTGATATTTTGAAGTGTGAATATTCTACTTTTCTGTCATAATGGAAATAAAAAGTAAAAATGTTTAGGGTCATGGTATATGTTCTCTGTTTTTAGAGGTTGCTGCATCATACCAATGAATTTAGGCAAAGAAGCTTGTAATTCGATATGTTTGTAAGACTTTTGACGATTGTTACATCCTGACTTCGCTCCCCCTCAGATCTGCAGACTCCTCACAAACACAGGAGGAGACATTCCTGTGTAAATGCATTTTTGTGGCGCTGCAGGAGAGATGATTCGATAGACAGGGATCAAAACAGGGCTTATGTGAGATGTTGATGTTGTGACACACTAACTAAAAAACAACTGCCACTACATTGGGTACTTTTACAAAACTCAGAGAATGATTACATTATCTTAAAGCAGACCAAGTTACAGATCAGATTTGTGGAAAGGCAGAGCAATGATATAGTTACACAATGCACCTTTAACCATAGATCATGCAACAGAAAATCAAGACATTTGTGGTTGAAGTACACCCCCGGCCCTTCTCATTTTGGAACTATTGTCTCTCTTGTATCTTCTAACGTCAGCACAGTACAGCCTATACTGACTCATGTGTTTTCCTCCCTGTTTGCCTGTTATCATGGTGTGGACAGCCTCGGTCATGTCTCCTTCAGATGGTGACACATGCTTCACCTGTCTGTTCCTCTTCACACGCTCTATGACACACTCCACACATGCTCCACCACACAGGAACACCATCTCCTGGAATATGTCATGGTCTTGATAACATAACAATACAGAATCCTGACATTTTGACACTGAACTGGAGTGCAGTTTAGAATCTTATGGTACAGTTTGCTGTCAGAATGCAATTTTGTTTATGGTTCTGGTCACATTCAGTGTCTTCTGTCATTACAAACAATTTACATTAACTTCAGAAAGTGGAGCCATTATTCAACCCCAGATGTTATTATATGTGATTCTTGTCAGTTGAAAGGACTTCAAGCTATAATCACATAAATCACAAGTTTGTGGAGTCAATTTTTAACAAATATTGATACAATCCTTTAGGGCCCCTCTCATTCCATTTTATTGTATGGCTCCCCTGTTTGTAAAGCCTGCTGGCAAAAATATATACATATATATAAAGGAGATTTTGTCAAAGATTATTTTTCATTTTACAGTGTGCTACTATATACATATATACATATATACATATATATATATATATATATATATATATATATATATATATATATATATATATATATATATATATATATGTATATATATATGTATATATATATATAGCGAGAGAGAGATAGAGAGATAGAGAGAGATATAGAGTGCATTTGTAATATACAAAAATTATAATACAAATATTTAAAATGGGATTCTAAATCTCTAGCCAAAACCGCATGCATGTGCATGGACTCAGAAACACCTGTCTGTATTCAGGACAGTCCTGTGTGATGTCACATAGTACTTGAAATTACAGTGTGCACTGGAGGCAGCACACACTCAAATGAAACCTATTTTGCACAAAAATTACAAAAAAATATTAGGAGTAGTAAACAATACTATTGAAACTACTATACACAGCTTAGTAGCCAAAAACATTTAGTCCCACTTTTATAAACAAAATTGCCTGTTCTTTGTTGTTTTCAGGTCTTGTGGCACTTGGACATTTTCCGCCGCAGCTTTCGCCAGTTATCCTCTCACAAATGCATGGAGGACTCGTGCATCTTCTGCGCTCTGAAGGTAAATCCTGATCTCTAAAGCTGGAGATTACACTGCACCTCTCTCCTTTGTTTAACTGCACTTGTCCCTTCTTCCTCCCAGAGTATCTTCGCTCAGTTTCAGTACAGCAGTGAGAAAGTTCTCCCTTCAGATGCCCTCCGAAGTGCCCTCGCCAAAACCTTTCAGGATGAGCAGAGGTTTCAGCTCGGGATCATGGACGACGCTGCAGAATGCTTTGTAAGATCTGCTGATATGTGGAATCATCATATGTGGAACAATTATTTTGTTTTGTTATTATATCTCTATAGAGACACCAACCAAAGATTGCTCATCGCTAATCAGCTATGTGGTGACCACAAGACCTTTATTTTATGTAACATCAACTTCACAGATCTGCATGAAATCTGTTATGAAAATGAGCTCTACTTTTAAATGTACTTTTTGAACTTAAAACAACTTTATTATGGATATTAGTTATCACATATTTGGTTAGCCTCTGTCGTGCCTTAAAACTCTTCAAAGTGGGTGGGGCTGTTGAGCTCCATTAAATGACCCATAATCCAAAGAGAATCCACATCCAAACAAACATACTAGCCAAAAATGTGTTCATGTTTTTCTTATAAATATGCCTCTTATTTTGGTTTTAGGAAAATATCTTGATGAGAATTCACTTCCACATCGCAGACGAAAGTAAGGAGGACATCTGCACAGCCAGACATTGCATCCCTCATCAGAAGTTTGCCATGACACTGTTTGAGCAGGTGAGTAAAACGAATAACATTAAAGGTGCTCTACTACTCTTATTGGACGGTACACATACTGCTTGTCTGCGTGGAGATGTTACTGCATTGCTTGGAATGTTTCATAGTATGGCATTAAATGTATCTATTAAATATATCTACAACTCAAAAATGCCTTGAAATCATGTATTCTTACTGTCAGCTGGGTCGCTTTTTCACAGATCTGACCAGTAATTTGTCCTAGTGCTTGTCACCTGCTTGTCTCCATAGAACGTTAGGTTAGAAATAGCTTATTTACCAAAACATGTGCAAGAATCTCATTTTTTTTACATAATATATCCTGAATTCTTCTTTCTGAGTTGGGTGACAAAATATATTGACATATTGATTACTGAACTTTCTGAAATGGCCTGTACATTAATAGATATGTTTAATGCTGTGCTGTGGAACATTTCAGGCAGTGCAATAACATCTACACCATATATAACAGTGTATCATATATTTAGACATCATTTTTTCTTATGTTTGTGTTCAGTGTGTGTGCAGCAACTGTGGAGCCTCCTCAGATCCGCTTCCCTTTATCCAAATGGTCCACTACATCTCCACCACGTCCCTCTGGTAAGTCCTAAGGTGGCTCCAGGAAACGCACAACTCCACATCACCGCTTCACTGTTGCTTAGCTACCTGTAACCTGGGGCAACACGCTTAATGCACTCAATGACACAGGTGATTCATTTTGGAGCTACATCAAAGCTCTGACAATGTACCTGTTCAACTGAAAGGAGGCTTGAAGCTGCCCTTGATAAATATGAAATAGGTTTTGCAACTTTTTATACTTTTTGTCCTACCTGTGTTAGTGATATTGTGTTTTCTAATTCTAGATCTAAAAATTCAAAACTAATTATTTATAGAACTCATAACCAAGTTTTATTGATGTACTGTTGATACGTTGCACTGACATCATGCTGGGGGTGTTCTACATGCATCTCTATTGGCAGAATGTTCAGCAGTTACCATGGTGACACAACGGACACATTAGCAAACACAGACAAAAAGTTTTTAGATGTCTGAAACTCAAGAAAAAATACAAAATGGATTTAAATAACACATTTTCAGGAGCAGTGATCAATACAACTTGAAAACTTTTGGCTAATGCTTGTGACTGCAGTAATATTTGAAAAGGACAGTACAAATCAGCTCATCAGTTAGTAGTTAGTAGTTTCAACCAAGTTCCAACTCTTTGTACTCAGATTGTGTGAAAAAAAGATCAGATTAAGTCTAACTTGAGTAACAGCTTCCAACAGAGTAGTGTTTTCAGTTAGCTTCAACCCCCCAGGAAATGTTGATGATCAGCTGCAAATTATCAATGTTTACCTGTCTCTACACATATTTTTGACTATTGTGATTTCTTCTACCTTCATCTCAACTGAAATTTGCCAGTTTTGATTTCATTTTAAAACAAGTAAAGCAATTAAATTATTTGACAACCAAAAATCTGAACTTTCACAACCCAAAAATATTTATTTATGATTTTTTTTTTTTTTTAACTTTTCACTTTTGTAATAAAATAAGTGTCATGTTATGAAAAATGCTGCCACATTTTTAGCCTAATGTCTCTTCTATTTCCATTTTTACTCATGTGTCTGTTCAAAAAGACAAATCTGATGCACTGAAGAGAATCGGGGACAGACACATTGGCACACACAGTCTGGGGCATCTCTAAAAAACTAAAACATCTGTGTAGAATATCAGATATAAATAAAATATTATCGACTTATACTAGAACCAATATATTATTCATCTGTATACAATCTTAACTGTTTCTCTATATGTTGATAGTAACCAAGCAGTGAAGATGTTGGAATCCAGAGAGAAAGCCACTCCCAGTATGTTTGGAGAGCTGCTCAGAAATGCCAGCATGGGAGACCTCCGCAACTGTCCTGTAAGAGCCATGTTTGTCTTCACTAGAAAAACTCTGATCTAACCTTATGTTGTGTGAGTGTGTCGTGTGCTCACTGCCCTCTCCCCTCTCAGAGTCAGTGTGGACAGCAGCTCCGTATGGCTCGTGTCCTCCTCAACAGTCCAGAGATCATCACCATTGGTCTGGTGTGGGACTCTGACCACTCAGACCTGGCTGAAGATGTCATACACACCCTGGGGACATGTCTACGTCTGGGAGATGTAAGGCCCAGCCATAGTTTTTATTAAAAGCTTAGGCTGTAAAAAGAGTGGACTAAGGGAGTGTGATGTCACCCACAGCGTTTGGCTTCAGTCAAATGAAGCTCATGAGGCTGCAGTTATAGGGGTAACTTTGGAGCCAAGTTCCAGATTAGGAATAGGAAATTATTTATAGACTAAATGTGGCCAAACCTGCCTGTCAAAACATGATATCGTCAGATTTCAGAAGCTCAGCAGGGCTGAACCTGGTTAGTACTTGGATGAGAGACTGCTGTGAAAATCTGGTGCCACAGTGGGGCGCCATTGGAAAAAAACTGCTGTTGTGTTTTTAGGCAAGACACTTCACACTGCCTAGTATGAATCAATGCATTATTAAAATAGCAAAACAAAAACACAAGGATCATGTAGAGCAGGTTAATATGAACTCTTTAAGACCAAAATGAAGAGCCTGACAGCAGCAGTTATGGAGAGAGGGGCAACAGTTTTTTATGAAATCATGTCAATTGGAGAAGCCAAAAGTTTCTCATTTTCATTTCGTGGCTAGCGGGTTAGCTATGTCCATTTATATATACAGTCCATGATTTAAAGCCTATATGTAGCAGGGGTGTACTCTGTGAGTATTGCTGTGACAGGAGTTTGCCTTTCAGTTGTTTTACAGAGTGACAGAGGAGAAGGCTCGGCAGTCAGAGCTCTACCTGGTGGGCATGGTGTGTTACTACGGGAAACACTACTCCACGTTCTTCTTCCAAACCAAGATTCGGAGATGGATGTACTTTGATGACGCACATGTTAAAGAGGTATTTGTGTGAATAGATAGATCTCAGTTGTACCTAAATACACTGAAAGCTGTTTTCTTAAAGCTCCCATATTACGGAAATTTTACTCTTATGACCTTTAAGCCATGCTAGAATTTTGTTACCTCTTCAAAAACATACCTGGAGTTGGGTTTTGTTTCATTCACACATGTCTGAGTGAGCCTTTATTATCAGTCTATCTATCTCCAGAGCTCAAAATGCTCTGTTCCACCTTGTGATGTCATTAAGCTTTTTAAGTTAACTGCTTCCGTTTACCTTTAGTTCAGGAGAGACTGGCAATTCCAGAGTTGAAATTATCCAAATTATTTTAGTGAAGGTGTATTTAAAAACACAGTGAAGCACTTCCTGTATTACCACATAAAATGAGAAGGTGGAACTGAGTGTTTTCAGTTTGAGAGAAGAACCTAAATATGCATAGTTTGTGTGTTAAATCTGTGAATGAAACAAAACAAGATATGTTTTTGTTGAGGAAACAAAATTAGAACACAGATCAGTAAATGGCATAATGTTGGCTCTTTAAACTATATAAAAATTCAAGAAATGAATCACTTCACCAGTGAAGAAGTTTACATCTAAGATTTAGTTTATATTTCTCTTGTCTCTCCACTCCAGTCTTGGTACTTGGTGCACTTTGATGACACTTTCTGACCCCTGTTACGCCATCATGATGTTACAGGATTTAACCCCTACAGATTTCCAATGAAACAGGGAGGGAGCTGAGTCACTTATTTGGATTTGTTAGTCTTATGAAAATATCCTAGTAATGGTCACACTTTTTAATAGTTTTCATTCAGATGGACTGTGTTTTTTCATGACTGTTGCCAGTGCTTTTATTTAGAATCCAGAGGAACCGATGACCTCAGCTGATATTTTTGGGCCGACATGTAGTTTTTTTAGGACTGATATGTCAAGATTTTTTGGGAGCTGATATGTAAAGTTTTTTTGGGGACGACATGTAGAGGATTTCACAAATTATTGAATACAAACAACACTATACTACAAATTGTGTAGAGTCCAGTGTTGTCACATTTTTGCAGTACCCTCTTAAGACAAAAATGTTCAAACAAAGCTTTATGCATGTATTTTTCAAACAAAATATTGGCCCCAGCTTGAGATTTAAGACTAATCGCTGATACACTAAAAAAGGAAAATATCAACTAAATGATATATTGACGTAGCTCTAGTTTTTCCACATGATAATAAAAACGCCCTTTCTCACTAGTATTGTGGCTAAAAGGCGTATAAAGGAAATGAGTAGATGTATCCTGCTGTCCTCCCTCTCTGTCCTTCCTCTCCACTCTTTTTAATTTTTTATATATAAATATTTTATTGAGGAACCACAATATATTTGCATAAGATTTACAAATCATACTTTTTTCCTTTTACATTTTTCTTATTTTCAAACCCACCATCTTAATAGTAAACTTCAAATCCAAATATTATCAAAAATGAAATAAAGGCAAGCAAGTAAATGATAATAATAATAAAATTTAATAAAAAGTAAAGAGAGAGAGAGAAAGGGAAAAGAAGAGAAGAGGAAACTAGAGGTGGGGTCACTTTAAAGGCAGGGTTTTTCATGATTTGCAGTATTCCATAAAGAAACCTCATTTTTGTTCAAAATTATCCTTTCCAGTTTAAGAAATCCTAAGACATCACAAAGTCACTGGGATATTAAAGGAAGTGCAGCAGATTTCCAGAGAAGCAAATATTCCGTCTAGCTATAAATGATGTAAAAGATAGTATTTTGGAATGAGTGGTGTCTTTCTCCCCACTCTTTAGCTTTAGTGCATTCTTCTCTCTCTCAGCGCTGTCATCTCCAAACTGTGCTCCAATGAAATCTGCGGTCATATGAAATTCCAAACAATGACCACACCCACGCACATTTTTTGTTTTCCATTACCGATACTGATATTTAGAGTTTAAAGGAAATGATGACCTCTATTTTTAAGCTGATATGAAGGGTCGATTTAACTAATTTTTCCCAAATTATCGTATAGAAATTTTGTACAAACTTTCTTTTACTACAAACTGTTCAGAGTGCAGTGTAGTCACATTTTTGCATTTCCGTCTTTGGACTAAAGTGTTAAAATAAAGCTTTATGCATATATTTTGAATGCATATTTAAAAGTAACATTTCTGGTGGAGGGTTCGTTAAATGCTTTTCTCCATGGAGATGTTATTTACTTTGTCTGGAATGTTCCACAATATGACATTAAACCTTTCTATCTTCATGGAGACCAAACCAGACCAAGTTACAGCTCAGATTTGTGGAGATTCATTCTGAATGTCTGTTTTTCTAGATATTTTTGAGCTGTAAAACCACCTGTAAGTTAATCAATAAAAGGTAGAGCTTAATGTCATACTGTGGATCATTTCAGCAGAAAAGTTGCAGAGTTTAATATACTGGTAGGGCCAAACAAAATATTGGCCTTTGCTGGAGATTTATGGCTGATAATCAATGCACTAAAAGAGGCAAAAATATATAACGTCAGCATTCCTTTCTCACCCATATCTTTGCTTAAAGGCATCTAAAGGAAATGAGTAGATGTGTCATAAAGTCCTCCCTCTCTGTCCTTCCTCTCCTCTCTTCTTCTTCAGTGCATTCTTCTCTCTCTCAGTGCTGTCATCTCCGAACTGTGCTCCAATGAAATCAGTGCAGCGGTGGGTCGGGGCTACTGTCAAAACAAGGATATCCCTCCATTGTTTATCAGCTGGAACTGTGGGCGGGGCTTGCACACTTTTGCTCATGCACACTCATTCTGTCCTCCCCTTTTGACACATGCGTTAGACACAGGGCTCAATCAGCACGCACACACACGGGGCTGTGCTGTGGGGAGTGGTGTGGTCTTATGGGAACACTTCTTTCTATTGCTTCTAGAGCTCAAAGTGGAATTGACAAAAAGGAGAAGGTTTTGGAATATCAACTTTTGGTGGGACAGAGGTGAGACAGGACAAAAACGAGGAGTACGAAGCTGCTTTTGGATTTCGTGGAAATTTTTTTTTGGCTTTTGGTTCAGAAATATTCAGTTAATGTGTGACGTCATTGGGGTTATGTAAGGTAAAGGATTGTGGTATGTTATTTTTGTTTTTATTCGGTCCACAAAATGGCTCTGTGCAATTAGCCTAATTTGAACTGACAGCTTATCCGTCAGTTGAAGCATGTGGTTTGGAGCTGAGAGATGACGTAGGTGGAAGAAATATGACTGTAAATATTGGTTTTTAATGGCAGTTATTCAATGTCTGTCTTGTTTATGTCTAGGAAATTAATATTAAAGGTAAAACGAATGAGTTTGGAAAATATCTAACAGAGATTTTTCTGGCAAGCATTGCGATTAGATTTGCAATTTATGTTTCTATTCAAAGGTGCACTGCGTAACATTTCTAGTGGAGAATCCGCCACTAGTTTGTCTAGAATGTTCCATAGCATAGATTAAACCTATCTATTTATCCATCTATCTATCACAAGAGAGACGAGCAGGTTACAGCACTACGCTACATTACAGTCCAGGTCTGTGGACAGTCGCATTCACAGAAGGAATGATTGCATTTTTGAGAGATAAAAACACCTGTAATTAATAAATGGATATGTTTAATGTCGTACCATAGAACATTCCAGGGAAAGCAAGAACAACTCCATGAAGACAAGCAGGTAGTGGACTGTGCACAAGAGAAGTTGTGCAGTGCACCTTTAAACATGTCAAGTATTGAAAACTGAACTGACAAACTAATGCAAGAATCACATTTCAGAACATGTTTGTACAGATCTAAACTACAGGGTTAATGATTTTTATGCAGATTAAGAGGATATTTTGTTGTTAGAGGAGGAAATTATGGTACTTCAGAAATTGCTGCATTTATGATTTGCTAACTATGTCAATTCAAATTGCAATTAACTAATTAAAAGTCATTTTATCTGTTTTTTAACATGACAACATAAGGCCAAAACAAAAATCACAATGCCTTTTGTGTTATACGCCTTATATCCTTTGTTTAACTGTATTAGAACTCTCAGGGTCTCAGTTATTCCTAACCTACTACAGTTGTCAAAAGTATCAAAAATACTAATAGTAATTGATAGTAAAACTAGGATCAAAACTAGATCCTTATTTGAGCAGGTATTAATACTAAAAAAGTCACATTCACAGGGCAGAAATGAACCTCTCCTGAATAGCTTTAGAATGATCTTAAGCTGTAGAATAAGTATGAGAGCACATAGACTAGTAAACACCCATGGACGACTATGGAACCTACTTGGACCACTGAGGGATTACACAGATTTAAGACTCGAAAGTACTATGATTTAATGTTGGATATCACTTTCTAATTTCTAAAGAAAGAGTTTGTAATTATCATTGTAATATCAGAATCAGTATTGAGTCTATTCCTTACCTTAGCATCGAAATCAATTTTGAAATTTCAGTATCGTGACCACACTAATATATCTTGTATTCTTACAGATTGGTCCGAAGTGGAAGGACGTTGTATCGCGTTGCATTAAGGGCCACTACCAGCCTCTCCTCCTGCTGTACGCTGACCCCCGGGGGACCCCAGTATCTGCCCAGGAAGTCCCCTCACGCCACGAGCTCCACTCCTTCACCAAGTCCTGCTACGACAGCGAAGACTCTGGTAACTACAACACAGCTAGGAGTCGTAGTAGTAGCACAACAGCCCGCCTCCAGGTAACTAAACCGGGACTAGCGCTTGTATTGATACTTTGCAGTGACATCATGCTGGGGGTGTTGGGGGGTCTATTGGTGGAATATTACAGTTAGCATGGTGACGCAATGTACACATGAGCAAACGCAGACAAAATGTTGTGAAATAGTCTGAAAACTGGATTGAAAATTTGAATTAAACATGTTTTCAGAATCTTGTGTTCATGGTCTTGTTTAGGTGTTCAGCTTTCAACAACAAAGCTCAGAGTGGCTAACTGAAAAAGTGTGAGCGTAATTTTATGTGTGAGAGACAGCACAAATCTCACCTGTTGTTGTTCCAACGAAGTCAGCTCTTTCTGATCAGAATGTGTTAAAGCAAAGCCCAGAATAAAGTCTAACTTGAGTAACAGAGCTTCAAACAGAGTAGTGCTTTCAGTTAGCTTCACACCCCCAGGAAATGTTGTCGACATCAGCTGCAAAGTATCAATTAGTCGTAGTGGTAGTACTATGACTGGCAAGCCTGGCTTCACTCAGCACTGCTAGATGTAGTAGTGTGGTTGTGGCTGTTGTTGTGCCAGCATGCTACACAAGTGAAATATATGTTGTCCGCAATTGTGCTTCAGACTTTAAAATAGCTTTATGTAAATGTGACTAGAGGTCTAAATGAAAAAAAGACTCACCAATGTAGTTCTGTGCAAGAGGAAAAACAACTTCTTGCTTATATTTCACTCAGTTGCAGGAATGTTGACATGCATTGATGGACTAATCCTGCATGAAAACAAAGTGAAATACTGATTTGATCTTTTGACGAAATTGAGTTACTCTTACTAACAGTCTTACAAATCAAACCAGACCCCTGAACCTACTTTATTATTGTGAATTCAAGTAGTAAATGAAGTAATGTTATGTGATGGTGATGTTTTGTCTTGTGATCAGGCCGAGAGCCTTCCATCTCCAGTGACACTCGCACAGACTCTTCCACTGAGAGCTACACGTACAGACAGCCCTCCCACTCGCACCATGAGTCCTTGGCCAGTCACTACTCCTCAGACTCCCAGGGAACAGTCATCTGCACTGAGCGCTCTTCCTTCGGCAGTTTGGACACCATAGGTATGACCTCAGCTCAGAGTGTGAAGTATGGAAGAGAATTTGTTTCATCAGATTTTGACTTTTTGTTTTTATTTTGAATTTCAGTTGATGACATTTTAAAGGTGCATTGTGTAACTTTGCTGATAGAGCATCTGTCATGAATGCTTTTCTTCATGGAGATGTTATTGCTTTTTGTGGAATGTTTCACAGTATGGTATTAAACCTTTCTATCTTCATGGAGACTAAATCAGACCTATTTAGAGGTCAGATCTGTGGAGAGGTGACCCTGCTCACATTCAGACATTCTAGGCATTTTTGAGCTATAAAACCACCTGTAATTGAATAAATGTAAGGTAGAATTGTTTAATGTCATACTGTGAAACATTCTAAGCAGAGCAATGACATACAGAAACAAGCAGGTGACGGTCCCATAATCGAAAAGTTACACATTGCACCTTTAATTATACATTTTCAATGTGCTTAAAAAAAATCACCTTTTAAATATTGAGCACATATTTTCAAGCCCTCAAATTAAACAATCAAAATTCAGAGTTTAAAATTTATAGTGCAAAATTTTGGCGAGGCATAAGCATTCGAACTTACAACCAGGAAATGCTGACTAATGTGATTGGTCTGAAAACGCCATATTAGATCTTTGCTGCAAATTTTACACTCTGAATTTTGACTGTTGCATTTTTATTTTGAAATTGATGTATATTTAGCAGCTAAACAGAATTAAAACATTTTAAATGGAAAATTCCACTGCGTTTAAAATAAAAAATCTGATGAAACAAATAGTTTTCCATATTAAGGCATTCGAGGTCTTCTAATGTTATATCAGATCATAGTGTATCATCTCATGTCATTACATGTGTGTGGTGCTGCATGGCGGTGTAAACGTGTGTTCCATGACTTGTCGTTGCCAAGGCCACGTGACGGACGGCGAGCAGCAGCACTCTCTGAAGAAGGGAGACGGCGAAAAGAGGCGGAGCTCTATCCGCCCGTGGCGATCTAAACCTGACCACGAAGCTTCTCTGGCCGGTTACCACAGTGAGGGTAGGCAGCGCTGGGGTCACTCGGGGTAGATTTGGAACATAGACTGTATAAAGAAGTGGACTAAGGAAGTTTGATGTAGGAATTTATTTACAGACAAAATGGCAAAATAAAAACACATTTTAAAGGTGCACTATGCAACTTTTTGGTTGGGGGTCCATCACTGGCTTGTTTCTATGGATGTCATTGCTCTGCCTGGAATGTTCTACAGTATGACATTAAACAGCTCTACCTTACATTTATTCAATTACAGATGGTTTTGCTCAAAAATACCCCAAAAAACAGGCATTCTGCCCTGTAATGATCTAGTTTGGTTTCCATGAAGATTGAAATTATTAATACCGTACTGTGAAACATTAGAAAAGCATTTGATGGACCCTTCCCCAGAAAGCAGAAGGTACAGAGAGAGGGCGACAATCTTTCGATGTCAAGTCAATTGGAAACAGAGTCAATGGAGCCAGACGCACCTCCATGCTCACTTCCTATTTGGAACGTGATGACTGTGTCCATTTATATATACAGTCTATGATTTGGAGGCTAAAAACTTACTCATGTAGAACAGTTCTTTAATTTGAGTCAATGTTTGTGTGAAGTTAGTCTAAACTCCATTCATAGTGTGTCCATGTGGATTTGAGCCCGTTCATTTGTGTGATGAGGCCAGCTGCAGTCAGTCCCATTGAAACGCTGCTAGACAATGGGACATTCCTGGTGAAATAGAAGGTCAAACAAAATGAATAAACATTGTGAAGCTCTGATTGTTAAAGGTGCACTGCTCAACGTTTGTGGTGGAGAGTTTGCTACCTACTTTTCTCCTTGGAGATGTTATTGCTTTTCCTGGAATGTTCCATGTTATGACTTTAAACATCCATCTAGCATTTATTCATTAGATGTTTGTATTGCTCAAAAATACAATATCTCCATCTGTTAAAAGGGGTGACTGTTCACAGATCTGAACTGTAATGCAGTGTGGTGCTGTAACCATAGACTGTATAAAAAAGTAGACTGAGGGAGTGTGACGGCACTCATGACGTTCAGCTCCAGTCAAATAAAGCTCACCGAGACTTGCACTTATAGGAGCAAATTTGGAGCCAGGTCTATATTAGGAATAGGAATTAATTTGCATACAAAATAGTGAAATAAAAACACCAGGATCATATAGAGCGGGTAGTATGAACATTTTGAGACCAAAATGATGCGGCTCACAGCAGCAGGGGCCACAATATTCCATTGTCAGTCAGTAGAGAGAGAAAAACCCGCATGCGAACTTCCTATTTGGAACACAGAGGCTGGCACGATAGCTTTGTCCATTTATATATACAGTCTATGGCTGTAACCTGCTTGTCTCCCTTGTGATAAATAGGTTTAATCTATACTGTGGAACATTCTCGACAAAACAGTAACATTTCCATGGAGATAAGCAGGTGATGGATCCTACACTAGAAATGTTATGCAGTGCACCTTTAAGTTAATGTTATAAAATATAGTTTGCTTGTATCATTCATATCTGTCTCCTGTGTTCTTGTACATCTCATGCATTGTTTGGTTTAATTGTCTTGGTGCCAGTTTGTCTTTACCCTCATCACTGCTCTTATCTTCATGATTTCCAGGAGAGACTCTGAAGGAGCAGCAAGTCCCCCGCCCTCGCCTCAAACCCACCTCGTCCTTCTCATACTCCAGCAGTCGCCTGAGAGATTTTAAAGAAACAATGAGCAACATCATCCATAACCGCTCTCTCTCCTCCTCCTCTTCTTCTTCTCTACCTGCTGCCGCCATTTCAACCGAAACACACACATCCACCAACAGCCACCTCCCCTCTGGCAAACCTGCCCCCTCCCCCTCCTCCACGGGACAGGACTGGGAAGCAGACAGCACCAGCAGTGAGTCCAAGTCCAGCTGCTCCGGGGGGACTGGCAGATACAGGCCCCCGTGGAAACCCAAGAGAGAGGCCCTGAATATAGACAGCATCTTCACTCGACGTAGACAGGCTGGGTACAGTCCTCTGGCACCCTCTGTGTCCGAAGACTCTGGAGCTGCTACATCAGAGGAACAAGCACAAGAACAAGGCTCATCCAGGACTCTACCCAACATCAGTGGGCACAGGGGAGGGAGTGCAGACCTGCCCCCTCCTCCTCCTCCCCCCAGGCTTATCCAGCGCATGGAGAGTGGCTATGAGAGCAGTGAGAGGAACAGTAACAGTCCCGTGAGCCTGGACCTCAACCCAGGAGACAGGTAAATGCCTAAACATTTTCTATAGACTAGCAGTTTTGTTTTGTGAAAATGATGTCAACACAGTTGGAGAATGTGACAGTTGTTTATGCTAAAAAAAAAATTACAATTCAATCCAGCTTTATTTGTGTAAAACATTTTATAAACAAGACCAAAGTTTCCAAAGTGCTGCACATAGCAATGCAAAATATTCAACTCTAAAAAGTCAGCAGAATTATGTTCCGAACAAAAGGAAATAATAAAAAGGATAGATAAAAAATATAATAAAATCAATGAATAAAACTGATAAAATCAATAGATAAAGCAGTACTAAAAATAATAAAACAATAAAGAACATAGAGGACCACACAATTCATGCACATACATACTGTTTTGTGTGTTTCAGGGAAAGTAGCACAAAGAAGCCTCCGTCCTCCTGTTCCTCATCTGGACCCTCGTGGAAGAACGCTCGGTCAAAGAGCAGTGGGGCGCTCCTGCAGGATATCAATTCTTCTAACAGGACAGGTAGAATTCTGGAAGACTTGTATAGAACTAAATGCGTGGGGTGTTCATATATTGGGCCGATATTTGGAGTTTTTAGTGCGTCAGCTTTTAGCTTTAAATCCCCAGCATGGGATGATATTTTGTTTTGCCCGTTTACTGCCTACAAAACTACTCACATAGCTTTATGTAAACATGCAAAAAGATAATGTGACACAACTTTTTTATAGATGGGTAAATCATCCAAATTGGCCCTTATATATTGGCCCAGAATATTGGCAGTGCTTATCTGTTGTTAGTTGCTTTCTGTTTTAAACAACTGGTATCATATTGGCCATAAAAAAAATCATGGTTCTTATGTGTGTCTGTTGTAGCGCCCTCCTCCGGCCGTAGTGAGCTGGATGAGCTGCAGGACGAGGTGTTGAGAAGAGCCAGAGAGGAGGAGCAGCAGAGGCGTCAGGAGAAGGAGAAGGAGGCCGCTCTGGGCTTTAACCCCAGGCCCAGCAAGTACCTGGACCTGGACCAGCTGCAGATTCAGGGTATGGGCCCACACTGCAAAACTGTGAACAACAGGAATGTTCCTCATTCAAACAGAATGAAAGAGAAGCTCACAAAAGACAGTCTGACCCTGCAGTAGAGCGGCTGCATACACACAAACACCACCACCAGAAATTATTACACAGACAGCTATTTGGGAAAATAGTTTTAGAAATGTAGATATTAGATTTTTATTGAGTAAAGACATTTTATAGAACATTTATAAGGCTTCTCAAAGGATGAATTCTGATTCAAAAGTAATATTGTGTAATAAATGTATCTTATAACTTTCCATACCATACTTTACTTGTAAATAGGTAAAGGAGACCGCTTTGAAAGGTGTGTTTCTGAAGCTGAGCTCCTGTTGGACCAGTCTGTGTGTCTGGAGCAGGCAGGAGAAGTGGCAGCTGCTCTTACTGCAGTAAATGAAGCTGTGTGTAAGTATTCTCCCATTGGCCCCAAAGAGAAAAACAACTACACAACATATGCAGCAGAGTAAAGCTCAGCGAAGCCCTTTTAGACATTCTCTCCATCAGGCTGCTCTGTAACTCTTTTTTCACAGGCAGCTGCAACTTTTTTAAATGCATTGCTCGAATCTGTGCTATTTATTTTTCAATACAATAATTTCTAAATATACATAATTATTTAATTCTGATCAGTTATTTTTCCATTTAAATATTTTTTTATTTATGGCATTAATATGAGTTCTCAATGTGTTTGGTTTACTTTGTAACATTACAGTGCATTTATTTAATTTAACCATCTCATAGACTCCATTTTAGTCTGAATGGCTGTCATAGCCTCACATATAGATAGATACATGTTCATTTAATTTTACTTGTTTTGACCTTATACTTTTGCATGTCTTCATCCTGTTTTTTTCCTCATATACTTTTCTTTTGTTTGGTTGTTTTGGACCTTTTCTTGATGTGGATTTGTGGCTTGGCTGCAGCCAAACTGCACTCAGCAGCAGCTGAGTCTGGGGCCAGTGCTCACACTCGGCTCCAGCGCTGCATAAGGAGAGCCCGGGGTCTGCAGCAGCGAATCACACTCCAACAGCGCCACTTAGAGGCAGGCAGCAGTACTGAGCAGCCCCAGCCTCAGCACCAGACGCACAGGTACTGCTGTAGTCTCAGTAGAGCACACAGAGGTATCCAGTGTTCTGCAGTCCTCATTCCAGCACACATGATATCATCGTCTGACCTTTAAGAAAACTGTACAACACATTAAAGGTGCATGGTGTAACTTTTCAAGAGGAGGGTGCGTCATCTGCTTTTCTCAGTGGACATGTTATTGCTTTGTCTGAAATATTTCACTCATGATAGTAAACCTTTCTATCATCATGCAGACCAAACCAGCCCAAGTTACAGGTCAGATCAGTAGAGAGGCATCCCCGCACAGTCAGAATGTCTGTTTTTGTAGGTATTTTTGAACTCTTAAACCACCCGTAATTGAATAAATGTGAGGTAAAGCTATTTTAATGTCATACTGTGGAATAGTTCATGCAGAGCAATGACATATCCAGGTGACGGACCCCAACCAAAAACATTATACTGTGCACATTTAAGCAGAATTATTAAACCAAATATATCTAACACCTGAAATTGTCATATTGTATGTCAAAGTCAGCATCATTTACCTTCAAAATACAAATACAAAATAGTACAAAGTGTTTAACTCATTTTCAAATCCTTGAGCTTGTTCTGTTTGAGTCATGAGGCTCAGAGCACAGTCCCAGAGGTGTAAAGAGCTGTTGACTCACTGTAGGTGTGAAGCATGTGAAGGAGCTGTCAGCACGCCCCAGGAAATGAACTCACAACACACATGTGATCTAACCATCTGCCTCTGACATAAGGCTCTGCACACTGAGTATCCATACACAGCTCATTTCTGTACAAGTATTAGTGAAAACACCCCCTTAAAGGTGCACTGTGTAACTTTTTAGCTGGTGGTCTGTCACCTTCTTGTTTCTGTGGATATGGCATTGCTTTGCTTAGAACGTTCCACAATATGACATTGAACAGACCTACATTTATCTTACATTTTTACAATTATAGGTTGTTTTATAGCTCAAAACTACTTAGAAAAACAGGCATTCTGACTGAGAGTGTGGTCACCTCTCCACAGATCTGACCTGTAACTTGGTCTGGTTTGGTCTCCATGATGATAAAGGTTTAATGCCATACTGTGAAACATTCCAGACAAAGCAATAACATCTCAACCCTCATACCACCAAGAGGAATCTAAACTTGTGTAGTCACGGTACTAAAATTTTGATTTCAACATTAAATCATAATAGGTCAAGATCATTCTAAAACTATTCAGGAAAGGTTCATTTCTGTCCTGTGAATGTGACTTTTTAGTACCTGCTCAAATGATTATCTAGTTTTAGTGCTAGTTTTAGTATCGATTAGGATCTTAGTCATTTCCTGTACTTACAAGCCTAATGCAGACTCATCTTTCTTCTATCTAATCTCTTCTTTTGCAGTGAAAAGTCTGTCCCGTTCCAAGTACTTCTGACAGACGGACAGGGAGACGAGCCAATCAGCAGTCACGATAAGATGGACCCGCCTCCTTCTCCACGTCTCGACCAATCGGCTCTTCCTGAAGATGTGTCCACTATTCGGCCTTCACCAGACGTACCACAGGAAGAGGAGAAGCTCGCAGGGTCATACACGCGCTTCGGAAAACCTCTCAGTAACTGCCGCTCGCTCCCTGCTCTGTGTGTGGACAATTATGAGCCGAAGGACCAGGACGAGGAGGAGGAGACTGCCCCTCCCCTCTGGGCCCGGACACCCCCTGCTCCTGTGCCCACGCCCTGCACTAGGACCCCCTCACCGGTCTATGCTAACGGCATGCAGCAGCAGATCAACAATCATTCACCACAAACATATTCCACTGGAGCCCTGCCCACCACCAATCCAACGAGGAACTGGTCGTGCCTGGCGGACGACTCTCATATAAATTCACTTCTTAGCTCCTCTGTCCCTTCCTCCTCTGGTACCATGCCCCCCTGTACCCCCCCTGCCGCTCGACCCCCTCAGACCTTCACAACTCCCTCCTCTCATGACTACAGAGCAGCAGCTTTGCCAGTGGAGCGCTGGGCAGAGAACGTCAACAGATATTACGGCGCCATGAGTGCAGCAGAGAAGAAGATCGGAGCAGAGGCTGCAGAGGAGCTGTCAGAGTTGGACTGTCTGTACCAGGCCAGCCTGAGAGCGCCCCCTGTGGACAGGAACCACTATGGGGCTGCTCCTCAGCAGCCTAGTAACAGGACAGGTACTGCTATATGCTTTTAGTCTGACCTCCGTCACCGTTTATGTAATAACGCTGTGACCAATGCTCCCCATGTTCCTGCAGGTGCTAGACGGATCCCATCAGGGTCTGGACGGTCCAAAACACCCACTGCAGAGATTGAAAAATATGCCTACAGAACTCCTGTTCCTCCTGTGCACAAGGTACACAGTGTTTTTGAAATATCACATTTTAAGTAGACCAGTTATTTTGGTGTTCTAATTAAATGATCAAAATGTCTAAACTATCCTTCCAGTTGAATTCTTGTGATAATAAAGGAATACTGTAGTTACGCAATAAGTAATTGTACTCTTACTCAGTTAATGTGCCATAGAGTGAGACCAGTTGCCAGAGCCTACAGTCTAACACTTTGGAAACTCATGTTTTTGTTGTTGCAGGTGTCAGGTGAGGATGAAAGCTACAGCGCAGACAACATGAGAAGACTCGCCCGCAGTCTGAGCGGGTCGGTCATCGGGTCACGCTCCCAAACACTCCCGTCTCACCCTTCTGTAAGTCCCACTCACTCTCTGTACACACATAGTATACACATATATTATACACATACTGTATACAGATACTGTGTATAGATACTGCTTGGTCCTGTCTTTTCATAGGTGCTTCTTTCGTACCACTATATTAGACTTTCTATATTAAGACTCTTTAACGTCCCTTCATAAATTTTGCATTACACTGCCCCCTTGCGTTTGCTATCAACACTGCAGTGTACTTTATCTTTTACTTGACCTTGCCCCTTACAAATGTCGATTTGTGGAAAATATTACTGTTATGTAAACATGTGTCCTCACAGCATATTCAGTTTAAACACTCGGTACTAGATATAAGCAAACTATTGACCATATGCAGGTTTTAGGCTAAAAATAACCTACCGTGCTGTTGAAAGTTGTGTGAAAACAACCATACAATAACAATGCTGTAGACTAGTTATAACAAATAACCATACTAAGCTCTATACTTAAAGGTGCACTGTGTAACTTTTCTGGTGGAGAGCCCATCAAATGTTACTGCTTTGTCTAGAATGTTTCACAGTATGGCAGCAAACCTTTCTTTCAACATAGAGACCGAACCAGACCAAGTTACAGCTTATATCTGTGCAGAGGCAGCCCTGCTGATCACATTCAGAATGCACGTTTTTCTCTGTAGTTTTGAGCTATAAAGCCACCTGTAATTGAATAAATGTGAGGTAGATGTAAGGTAGATAAATGTAAGGCTGTCATACTGTGGAAGATTCCAGGCAGAGCAATGACAGAATGACAGAACAAGCAGGTGACAGACCCTCAGCCAAAAAGTTACATAGCGCACCTTTAAAGCAAATATGCAGGTGTTAAAAAAAAAACAAAGTAGTATAGTGTATTCCAAATGTGTCTGTGTGATCTCGTGAGCCTAGCCTGTCAGTGCTCAGATCATCAGAACAGCATGAGGCCCGGTGCAGAGACAGACTGTTTCTCTCCGTCTCCTGTGTGGAGCTGTGAGCGGAGCCATCATGGATTCAGCCCTCAGGATATACCCCAGGGCTGCACATTAAACATTGATACATGATTTAGCTCCTCCATTAGGCTTTTAACCCTGGCGCCGGCCGCATCATCGCTACTGACAGAAACAGTCTCATATTGGCGTTTTCATCCGATGGGAAGAATTCAGCCTGTGGATTCACTGCAAAGTCAGAGTCTCCGCTCGATATTTTTCAACGTTCAAATAATACATGATTGATGAAAACAGAGCGAGCTGTAACCTGCTGTTAAAGGTGCACTGTGTAACTTTCCGGATGGAGGGTCTGTCTGTTGCTTTGGTTGGAATTTTTCACGGTATGATATTAATCTGTTTCCATGGAGAGAAGCACCAAGGTAATTTACAGACCCGATTTGTGGAGAGGTGGATCCGCTTAGAGTACAATACATATTTTTCAAGCTAGTTATTTATTTTAAAAAACACCTGTAATGAAATAATAATCAGGTTTAATGCCATACTGTGATGCAGTTATCTCCCTAACATATCTCCATGGACACAACCAGGTGCTCGACTCTTATCAGAAAAAGTACAAAGTAGGAATGTAACAATAACTGAAATATCATGAGATTGTATCGTGAAAGGTCTCACAATAATATTTGAATGCCATCACAGTATATCGAATATATTATAAATCTCTTTGCTTAAATGAGTAATTATGATGCAGCAATAGCTAAAAAGCAGAGAGAACTACATAGACCATGATCCTTTACTCTTTCAAAGCAGACTACATGAAGAAATAACTGTTATATAAGTACTTTTAAGTGTAAGTTATTTGGATTATGACAGAACCAAGGGCTTGTGAGGGCATTTTACAAAGAAAAAGTATTATTCACAGTTGTATTAGTCTTACTAAATATCGCAATAAATATTGTACCGTGAGATGGAATACCGTGAAAATATCGTACAGAGAGATTTGGGTATCGTTACATCCCTAGTACATAGTGCACCTTTACAAAACTTCTGTATTAAATGTGCATTTTTAACTTTTTGGTTGGGGGTCTTTGACCTGCTTGTTTTTTCTATGGATATGTCATTGCTCTGCCTGGAATGTTCCACAGACATTAAACAGATCTACCTTATGTTTATTCAGTTACAGGTGGTTTTATAGCTCAAAAATATGTAGAAAAACAGACACTCTGACTGTGAGCGGGGTCGCCTCTCCTCAGATCTGACCTGTAACTTAGTCTTGTTTGGTCTGTATGAAAATAGAAAGGTTTAATGCCATACCGTGAAAAATTCCAGACAAAGCAATAACATCTCCACCAAGAAAAGTATTTGATGGACCCTTCACCAGAAAAGTCACACAATGCACCTTTAAGGCTGCAAGATTAATTGAAATCAAGTCAAAATCACAAGTGAATTTGACTTTTTTAGTGCCCATACCTGCTCAAATGAGTATCTTTGTATTTGAATTTGAATGTATTTGGAGGATAAGTCCTTTGAGATGTCTCGACTTCTCATTTTCGAGTTTCACTACTAGTTCACTACTAGTCAGTATTTTTCATAAATCTGTAACCATTTCTGTGCTATTATGTTTGTGATTTTTTGTTTTTTTTCTTACTTTGTATGCATTTCATTCATCACTTTTGTTTGTGTATCTCTTCCCCGCCACTCAAAGGACCCTCCAATGTCCAGGCCCCCTCCCAGGCAGGTCATGTCCTCCTCCACCCTGCCCCGTCGCCCCAGTGCCTCCTCCACCCCCTTCACCACCAACCCCTCACTGCACCTGCCCCCTCACCCCCCTCACCCCCATCACCTCCACCACCATCACCAGCCCAGAGAGCACCAGTACCCTCCACCGCACCCACACACGCAGCCATCACGGAACCCCGCCTCAGGTAACCCACCCTCCATCTCCTCCAAAAAAAACATCATCGCCAGAGATGATGAAGATAAGCTCAGTTTTTGCTTCATTCATGGTGTTGTGTGGCTCTGCTATAAATCACACTCAAACTCATCCCATTGCCAAAGATGTCGAATCACACTTTTGTAGCCAACTTTTAATACTTGGGGTTTACTGCAGTGGATGGTAATGAGTCCAGTAGTTCTGTGTTTTATGGAGCGTGGAACTAAACAAATGACTCAGCAACACTGGGTTAAATACAAATATATAGAGTGAAATAAGAAATTAGACTCAGAAATGATGTTTGCATCTTTGTAGCTTAGCCTGAAATATTCTACAGTTTGGCAATAAAACATCTATTTCTAACGTCTATTTTTCATTTATTTAATTAATGGCAAGGCAGGGTCTCCACGGATCTAACCTGTAACTTGTAAGAAAAAATCCTATCAATGTGCCACCTCAGTAGTTATCAGTAAACAGTAAATCAAAGTTCTTGTGGTTTCAAGAGCCTGAAACCATTTAAACAGCACACATATAGTGGAGGTACCTTCTATTAATGCCTGATATTGCACAAATCTGTAGCTGGTAGTGAGTCTATATTTACTCTTTGTTATTTGCTATTGTGCAGTTCTTCTTGAACACATATTTTGTCTTTCTTCAGGAGCGTCTCTGCAGCAGAAGTTGTTTTTGGCTGTGTCTGACCGGTACCAGACTGTCCCAGGTGAAAGCCTTCACAGTGTCGCGCTGAACTACGGCACACTGCCCCGGGCCCCGCGGAGACCTCCTCCCTCCCCCACTCTGTCCCTGTGCAGACCCAGGACTGGTTCCAGCCCTGGCTCCAGCCCTGGGCCTGTGTCTATGGCTCCACAGGGAATGTACGCCACCCTAGGCCATGCTCCACGCTCACACACCTCTCACTGCAGACAAGCCTCGTTTAATGGTACAGTGAACGGAACTGCTCAGCTCCAACAGCCCCACTACTCCCAAAGAGAAGGCGCACCCCAGCCCCGCCGCCTGGACGTGCCACCTGACAACGACTGGCGCCGCGATGTCCGCCATGACGCCCGCCATGCCCCGCCCCCTCGCCTCCATCAGCCTCTCCACAGGACTGACCTCCCCGTGCACAGGAGCTCTCAGCTGTGCTCTCTGTGCAGACACATGTGTGCAGAGCCCATGAGGCCCTACTGCTCGTCCTGTGGGGCCTACATGAGGAGATTTGGCCCCAGCAGCTGATCACGCCCCCCCACCACCTCCTCACCTCCTCCTCCTCCTCTCTCTCTCTCACTCCTCTCTCTCTCTCACTCTCACTCTCACTCTCACTCTCACTCACTCACTCTCTCTCACTCTCTCACACCCCCATCTCACCCCTGCTGCTTGCAGCACACTTTGGTTTACTTTGTACAATGTGCCAACAGAGCTTCAGCATAAACAGAACCGAACATGAAGACATGCCTTCTGTGTGAAACCTACCTGAGACTGGACTGATATGACAAAAGCACAGTATATTTGTACACTCTAAAACTCTTTGGTGGGTTTATTTATTGCTTTGGGTTGAGCTGATGTAACAAAAGTCACAATGTTGAGAAACCAGGAATGATATTTTTAAAGAAAATCTCTTTGAATGTCTTTGAGCACCCGCCATATGCCACTAAGAACAGAATAATGATGTAATCAGTGTACGATGAAGAGGAGAGTTCATTGTACAGTTGGTTTGGTCTTCAATGAGTCTGAATGTAATGTAATAGTGTGCCTTAAATCTGGTCCCATATAGAGCTACATTGGCCTTATTCTAATTCTACAAATGATCGAACCTTTATATGAGGGAGATGGGAGAAGAGTGCACATGGAGCAGTGTCGTTCATATTTACACTGTTAGAGGGTTTGGAGGGCCAATAATAATCGACTCGTTTATTTTTGTAGCTTTGTCAGATTGGACTGTGCATATGTTAAACATCTAACCTGAGTGTAATTCTATATTATCTACCTACTCTACTCTTCTGTACATAGTGTGCGGCCACTTTCTTTTTCAAGATAATAACTCAAGTTGAACAGCTAATATTTAGCATGTTATTTAGCCTTGTAAATGTGCTGTAAGAAGTATATTTCTATATGCAGACCCTTTAGAGCAGCCAGGCCACTGCAGCTCCAGTGTATTCTGTTCTAGTGCACTTTAGAAGTGTTGCAGATAGTCTTTCTTTTGGCTTGTTGCTAGTTACTAAACTTAGCTTCTCCTCTTGTTTAGGGAGAGTTTTCTGTTACTATTCCACTTGAGTCTGCAGGATGGACCCACTGTTCTGAACAACATGGAACAAACTTTAGTGAAGAACAGAGTTGTGATAAAAGGACTGTGTGGACCTCTGTCGCCATCAGAGCACCAGGAAAGTCTGGGTTCTTTTTGTTTTATGGCAGACTTGAGTTTATATTGTTAACGTGTCAGTGATTCAAATGTGGAGCAGTTATTTTTTCACTTGATCATGTCAAACTCATTTTGCTTCATTAGAGTTTCTTATTTTTATTTTTGTGACATTTTGATGCTATTTTTATAGACCTAACAGAGTTTGGTTAGATTATTTTAGTAGAAATACTCACTCTAGTAGCTACAACTGCTTCTGCCATGGCCTCATGTTGCTTCTAAATTTTATTGTTTGGATATGAACAGCCTATGTTAAAGTTAAACCAAAGACTAAAGACAAAAGTTCCTGTTTGTTTCCATGGGCTGTTTAGGAGCAGAGCTTCATTTGTGTTTCCTGCTGAATTATTGGTTTCATCTTGTATTCAGTGTTTTCATGCTGTGCAGACCACATTAAAGGAAAAGTATTTTTTCAATAAAGTTGTAGCAATGACACAAAGAACAAAAATGTGTTTTGTACTGATCATCATGCGACCTACTCGTTTCTCTTATTAAGTTCTCTTAAGTTATGAAAGAAAAAAGGTTAAAGGTTAAAGAGTTCATTTTTGCTCCCATCCTTCAAGGCCACTGGGGCACCCGTCAGGAGCAGCGGGTGCCACAGTGTCACGCTCAGCGACCGAAATACAAATCTGGGCCTAGGCTTCGCTTGGTCAAGAAACCCACTCAGACGGACATGAGGAAAAACATACAAATGCTTGGGCGACGCTCGAATTGAACTTGGAACTTTCTTACTATCAGGCACGTGTGTGTGTTAGCCACTCAGCCATAATAAAGTCAACAACCTGCAATCTGACATTTCATTTAGACAGACAATTTCACCAGACTATTGGAGACCTTTCTACCATTTTACTTTTATGTTTCAGTAGGAACACACATGCGCACACACGCATGCGCACACGTGCACCTTTGCAAGAAAGAAGAATATGATCGTGTATGTAAATCACACTTTTAATATGTGGCATCAGTGAATAAATGTAGGCTATAAGTGGAGCTGGGACAGGGGTCTCTACTCTACCATGGACTGTATATATAAAAGTCTACTCTACTATAGACTGTATATATACATATATATATGGTGCTCTAGATGAATAGAACTTTTATGGATCCATGTCTGGCGGTGGGCAGGCTGCATCCCATCTGCACTCTGCCCTGTGTCTACACCCTTTTGCTTTACTTTACAACTTCCATGTTTATTAGGCTTTTAGGAGGCTACATTTATTAGACCAAATATTCCTCTTAATTTATAAAGCACCAACTGGCTAAAGGCTAATGGCCACAAAGCAACTCTGTAGTCATAGGCAGTAGGCTAGTGCTGATGAAGCTCAGGGGTGTACAGCCTAGTTTAATTTGGGTGACCAGATTTTCAAAATTCTAAACTGGGACACACCCTGGTTGGGATGTTTGGAAAGAATACAATTGTGAAAAGAGCATGTAACATTGTGGATTCTTGTGTTAGTCATTACTGCAGGGATAGATTAGTCAAAAATTTGTGATAGTTTTGTTTTAGTCCTTAGTTGATATAGTCCTGGTTTAAACTTAGTTTTATCCTAGTTTAGATCAAATTGGTTAAAAATATGGACACCTGGGACATTTCTTATATAAAACTGAGACAGTCACAGGTTTTGGATAAGTCTACTGGGACAGGGGACACAGCTCAAAACTGGTACTGTCCCGGGTAAATAGATATTTGGTCACCCTAAGTTTAGCTGAAGTAAAGTGTAAAACATTCACTCAGGGTAATGAGGTTAATATTCAATTGTGCAGGAGTAGACTGGCAGGGGCGATCCTGTAAGACCAGTGACCCATCATAATCTAGAAAACTGTAGTTGTACTTAAAAAAAAATAATGTATATAATTCAAGAATAGCTCATTGGCATATGAAGCAGGGATACATTGCTTGCCTGGCCTTAGCTACTAGTTTAGGGTTGCTATAGCCTATTGCCTGGGGCATTGTTTCCCAAAGACTGGGTCCCTACCCTAAGGTGGATCACAAGAGATTTTTTTTGGGTCACCTTGTCACGAATTGCATGTTGGTCTGCAATACGCAGTTCTGCCTATATGTCTGATCTGCTGCTGCGCTCACGCAACATAAACACAGACAGGCCCACCTATTTCATTAGAAATGTTGAAATGTTAAGACATGTTTTGTATCATTTCTAATCTTTTTGTAATTATTTTATTGACTAATTTGTTCCAGTATTGCTGCTTCAATTGAATGTTGAAAAGGAAAAGAAACGGGCTACATTTAATGTGCAAATAGGCGACTTATGGATCCTTTGACTGTTTTTCATTGTTTAAACTTGAGGAATACTAATTGTTCACTCAGTCAACAATAAAATATCCTTATTAATGTTCAATAATGTTCAATAATGGTCAAATTATTTTGTGATTTACAAGTAATATCTATTGACTTGGGTCGGGAAACTTTGTGACTTTTAAAATATGGGTCCCCAGAAAAAAGGTTGGGAAACACTGGTCTCTAGGGTGACCAGATTTTCAAAACTCAAAACTGGGTCACATCAGGTTGGGATGGTTGGTATTAATAAACATGCCTAACATTGTCCATTCTCGACTCATTTGTGGGTCACTATGTAATCTGAGGGACTTCTGTTTTGCTTTTTTTTTGTTTTTGCCTCATAGTCATTTTCCAGCACAGTTTTCTGAATTTTAGCTAAACAAATGATAATATATTGGCCCCTTTACTGTTAGTGGGGATCAGGTTGGTCACAAATTGGGACATTTCTTGTTTTGTTGGGACAAAATAATGGTTTTGGATAAATCTGCTGGGACAGGGGACACAGGTTTCAACACTGGGTCTGTTCTGGATAAATAGAGAAGCCTGGTCACTCTACTATTGCCACTGTTGAGAAGTAACAGATTACATGTACTGGAGTTACGTAATCAGAGTACAAATTATGAGTAACTGTATTCGGTTACAGTTACTGTTTCAGTGAGTGGTGATTGGATTACAGTTACTTTGTTGAAATAAATGGATTACACGTAATTCCACTCATTCCCAGAAACTAAACCAGGTCTAAACTAGATCTCAACCAGGTCTAAACCAGGTCTAAAACCAGGACTAAAACCAGGTCTAAACCAGGTCTAAACCAGAACTAAACCAGGACTAAACCAGAACTAAACCAGGACTAAAACAGGACTAAAATAGGAATAAAAAAGGACTAAAAGCAGGTCTAAACTAGATCTAAATGAGATCTAAACCAGGTCTAAACCAGGTCTAAAATCGGTCTAAAACCAGGACTAAACCAGGACTAAACCAGGACTAAACCAGGACTAAAACAGGACTAAAACAGGACTAAAACAGGACTAAATCATGCTGCATGGATGTGTCTCCTCTTCTATCAATAATATTTTTAATACGGTTCAGTAAAGTCTAAACATCTTATGAGAAGATTTCCTCATCTTTGCTTCTCTACAGCAAATCAAGTAATCCAAAGTATTCAGATTACGTTACTCACTTTAAGTAATTTAATGGATTACAAACTACATTTTGGGTTATTTAATCTGTAATCTGTAGGGGAATACATTTTAAAAGTCACCTTCCCAACAGTGACTATTGCCTACAGTTTGTTTCCCTATTGTATATTGTATATTGTATATTGTATATTGTTGTAAATATGAGGCCTATTTCCACAGGAGAAGCTTTTTACCACTGTCAGTACGAACGGGAGACACAAGAGGGCGCTGTACTCCTCCATCTCACAGAGCAGGGGCGAGTGCAGGAGGGGCCCGGCCAGGACACACCGCATGTCCCGTGCAGGAGAGGGCCACCCGCTCGGAGAAACACAGCAGGTAAAGTAAAGTACACTTCATACAGGTCCGCGCTCAGTCAGACTTGTAGAGGAAAAGTCGAGCGTCCTGCAGCGTACCACCTACAATATTTATATCAAACTATGAATTATCACCAAAGGGAGGACGAAAAATAAAGAACTTTCGAATCATTCACAGGGTATCAATTCCCAGCTAAAGTGTTTCAAATGGCTCCTGTGTGGTGAGATTTGGCCTGCAGCTTTAGCTTAATACTTGCAGCTTCTTCTGGGCGTTAAAGAGTTATGGGCCCCATAAAAGAGTGTGCGAGTGTGTCTGTTTCCCCCTCTCACTCACACAGTTAAGTTAATGTACGATATATTAAATGTGATGACCACTCCTGATGCTGATGTTATTTCCGTTTCATTAACCCGCCATAAATTCAACAGTGAATAAAGTGAACAGTGGGGACTTTTCCTTCTCCTGGCTATTTACAGCCCGCTTCCTCGCCGATGTCTTCAGATTTGTGCGTTCAATAAAAGACATCTCGAATGTAGTAACCGAATAGGCTGAAATGATTTTGTTTCCAGGTGGAGGGTCTGCGGGGTCTGCTGGGATGCCACCCACTGTGAGAGGAGCCAGCCGTTTGTCTTCCCGCTGCATACTTGAAGGACACTTGAGGAGAGGCTGAGATTACTGTACTTGGCAGTGAAGGAAAAAAACACCTGCTGGAGCCGGACTGTAAGTCTCACATATGTCTGGACCTAGCTGCTTTCCATCCACAGTATACACGACTGAGTGTAATGTCCGACTTCAGGCTTTACACTTTATTTAGTGTCTGCAGTCATGGATGTGCATTAGAGAGAGTGATGAGTCTTTTTTCCATGACTGATACAGATACCAATCGCTGCTAAACTCAATATTTTTGGGCCAGTATTTATGCAGGGCCAATTTTGATCATTTTCCCCAAATTATAACTAACTATATAACTGAACAGTACAGTTTTAAAGTAAGTAAATACTGGTTTAAATGAACCAAAACCTGCTCAAATAAATAAATTAAATGTACATTAATTCTCAGATATGTCTGAATACAACTGCTTTATCCACAATATACAAGGCCAAGCATAATGTCCTACTTCAGACTTCGCAGTCTGTTTAGTCTTAGGTGCAGTCATGGATGTTTACTGATATGTGTTTTTTTTTCCATGGCCAGTGCTGAATGTTTAGAACAGAGAGCAGCCAGTGGCCCATAAACTCAATATTTTTTGGGCTGAAATGTAGGGACAATTTTGAAAATTTTCCCCAAATTGTGTAATTTATATTTACTTAACAAGCTGCCCCCAAGACTTTTATTTTATTTTTATTTTTTTTACCCCATACCTTTAAGAAAGGTGTGTAATCATGTTCATCTTAACATTAATGTGATAATATAGCGTATGTCTCAGATATGTCTGGATACAACTGCTTTATCCACAATATACAAGGCCAAACATAATGTCCTACTTCAGGATTTCCCCTCTATTTAGCGTCTACAGTCATGGATGTGAATTAGAGAGACCGATATGTCTCTTCCCCATGGTCTATACTGATACAGCCGATGGCCCATAAACTCAATATTTTTGAGCCAATATGTAGGGACAATTTAGAAAATTTGACCATTTTCCCCA